CTTTGTGCCAGAAGCTATGCTAGACCCCAGAATATGCATGTATAGGAGATACTTATGTGGCTGGATAGAATTTTTATGATTTTCATCTTTGTAGTGAGTATAATACAGTATATTTGGGAAAATAAAGTGATGCTGTGTGTGTATTATACGTGGCTATATTTAATAACAGTTCACATATGCATGTGGTTACATGTAGCGAAATTCATCCTCAACATTCATAGGTTTAATGGTCATGCTTCAAAATATTTTCTAGCAGCTCTGTGGGTCCATTTCATGTATTTCTGGTTTGGCTGTGGTACAGGCATGAGGCTTCTGTCAGGACATGAGCTCAGCAAGCCGCCCAGTACCTGCAACTCACAGAGGCTACTTCATTCTTTACATGTTCCCAGAACAGTAGTGATGAAAATTTTGGGGGTGTTGGGATCAAAAATACCCTGTAAAGAAAGCTAACTATAAAAATAATGTGGCTTTAGAAAATGGTGATTTTTTAATTGAGGTATAGTTGACAATATTATATTAGTTTATGGTGTACAAGAGTGATTCAAAATTTTTATAGATTATACTCCATTTAGAGTCATAAGAAATGGTGATTTTTATATAGAAAATAGAAATACGGGGTACATTACTGAGGGGAACATTAAGAGGGATATCAAATTTAACAGTGATTTTGATCCTTGACATGTATAAGTTCATCTTTGCTTAATCAAGAATAAGAAAACTTGACCAGTGAAACCATTTTAGCTACTAGTTTAGCTCTCATGCAAAATCTTGTGAAAAATAAAAGTTTAGTGAAAGCGAAAAGACAGTTACCTTGTGGTATTAAGATATGTATAGGAAATATGTGACTGTTCTCAGAATATGAATTGAAAGCCAGGAGCTGTGCAAACATTTTCATAAAGGATTTCCATTAAACTCATCTTTCCATGATTGAAGACTGGTTTGAGAAATTTAGTTCCCCAATGTGGAGCTAATAAGAGTGACCACGTCAGAGTTGCTTGTCTTCCCAGGAAGTGTTTTCTTGACCACTGAAGATACACCTAGAGAGAAGGCTGAATGGAGCAAGCATCTCCCTCTAAGCTTTTGTGAACATACGTATCTAAAGAAGGGCAGTGAGCCTCAGAGTTTAAAGTGGCTAAGGATATTGCCCCTTGTCTTAAGAGAAACCTGACTTCTCTTCGAGTATACAGAGTCCCCTATAGCTCTTCTGTATTGATTTTCTATTGCTGTACAAAAAATTACCGTAGACTTAGCATCTTAAAACCACATATATTTATCATCTTGCTATATCCATGGGTCAGAAGTCCAGATGCTGCAACTTGGTTTTTCCAGAGTCTCACAAGGTCACAGTCAAGGTGTCAGTTGGGGTTGCATCTCTTTCTAGAGTTTAGATCCTCTTACAAGCTCATGTATTTGTTGGAGGAATTCAGTTCCTTGTAGTTATAGGACTGAGGTCTGCATTTTCTTTCTAGCCGTCAGTCAGGGACTGCTCTCGGTCTTGAGGGTCTTAGCCACATGGTCTTCTCACAGGGCCTTTCACAGTCCCTCTCAAAACGTGGTTGCTCACTTCTCCAAGGCCAGCAGGAGAATCTCTCTTACCTCTAGACCCTCTGTCAGAGCTCAACTGATTAGGCCAGGACCATCCAGGATACTGTCTTTTGATTAATTCAGTGTTTAATTGGTCAGGGATCTTAATTATAGCTGCAAAATCCTTTTACTTTTCCTTATAAGGTCCTGCCCACACTCAAGGTCAGCGATTATGTTAGGGCATGGGTCCTTGGGGTCATTTTAGAATTTTACCTACCATACCTGTTTATTTTCTCACTGTGTTTCTCAAGGTCAGAAAATGGAGGCAGGATCCTCTTTGCTCTCCATGGCTGCTTCCAGACCATTGCTCTTCCAACATTTGTGAAAAATAACAACAACAAATACAACTAACAAAATATCGAGACTTTGAGACTTGTTCCATTTGGCATTACCATTGTCTCTCCTGTTTTATTGCAGTCTTCTCTGTACTCCTTGTGTCTCCTGCTCTTTCATAAACGACATGGGTACTGGCCTCACAACCTTGTACTTTGCTCCAAGCCTAGCTGTTATTCTGGATGATTTCTGTTTCCATCACCACATGGAGATACGTCAGGAGTTGGGAGGGAAGAAAGCATAGCAAGGAGCATGTGCATCAGCCCTTTGATTCTTTAAATGACTTTAATGATGTCTGAAAGATTATTAGAAACTTATTTTGCTATCTGTTTTGTATTTTATATAGTCTTTTGGTTATTGTTCCTTTAGGTACTTCAAAACATTTTTGTGGTTTTGTTTAATACCAGCCTACCTTATTTGTGGTAGGTAGAGAGGTAAAGGATAGGAATCAGGTGCCATGTCTGGGGTATAAAGCTAGAGCCCAAGCAGCCCACCTATGGGCTCTGGGCGTGGTGTTGGCTATAGCTCTCAGACAGTGGAGTGAGGAGACCCTTGAGGAAGGGGAAGCAGCGAGTCAGCCCAGGTTCTGACTGGTCAACTGTATGGAGCTGCTGAGATAGCCAGAGCAGTCTGTCATTTTGTTTGTTTTTGTTTCTTGTTTTGTTTGTTTAACAAAGGTGAGTCTGTTCCCTTTCATTATGCTTTGGTTGCCAAGTACCAACAATGTTCTGATGTGGTAAAGCCTCAGTCCATGGTAACTTGAGGAAGAACTTTGTCCAACTCATTTCTTCTTGCCTGGGCCTGCCTCCGTTCTCTCGTGTTGTCCTGAGTCCCACACTGGACGGCGACTTCTTGGAACATCTGACCTGAGAGGCTAATTGCAGAGAGGTTTTCCTGAATCTCGCGCTGAAGCCTCAGAATTCAGCCTTAGTGACAGAGGCTTGCTGTCTCAACTAGAAAGCGTTCCCTACTGTTGTGACCTTTTCACATTTCATCCTCTTAGCCATCCCTGTTTCTCTCCATAGCCCTGCAACATACATCAGAGCAGTGGGCAGGGACTCTGCATGAAGCCTTTCTGTGAGCTGAGGTGGGGAGGAGGGTGTGCGTGCTGCCTGGCAGACCCAGTTCTCCACAGCTGCTCTGTCCAACACTGTAGCCACTGGCCACAGATATAAAAAGTAAATGCAAACTAAACAACATTAAATAAGATAAAAAAAATTCAGGTCAGGCTTCCCTGGTGGCACAGTGGTTGAGAGTTCCACCTGCCGATGCAGGGGACACGGGTTCGTGCCCCAGTCCGGGAAGATCCCACATGCCGTGGAGCAGCTGGGCCCGTGAGCCATGGCCGCTGAGCCTGCGCGTCTGGGGCCTGTGCTCCGCAACGGGAGAGGCCACAACAGTGAGAGGCACGCGTACCGCAAAAAAAAAAAAAAAAAAAAAAAAATTCAGGTCCTTCCTCACACTAGTCGCGTCTCAAGTGCTCAGTAGCCACGTGTGACTAGTGGTTACCATATTCAACAGCAGAATTAGAGAACACTTCCATCATTGCAGAAAGTTCTCTGGGATGGTGCTCCTTTAGAGTGTTTCTTTCCCTTTTGTCCTACAGCAGCGGCAATACCAGTGTCTTCTCTTCTCTTGGGGTCGAAGCTCGCCTCACTCACTGCTCTTACGCCTGCAAGTCAGCTTCATGCAGGAATTACCTTCTTCCACTACAGCAGGACTTGAGGGTGCCCTAGAGAAGACTGCCATCTCCTGGAGGGCTCCCTGATGGTGCTGGAAAGGCCATGTACTAGTTTTCTGTTGCTGTAACAAATTACTGCACACTTAGCAGCTTAAAACAGCACAAATTTGTTATCTCATAGTTTATTAGAAGATCACCATAGGTTTCATCAGACTAAAATCATCCACCTTGTATTCTTTTCTGGAAGATCGAGAGGAGAATCTGTTTTCTTGCTCCGTCAGGTTTTTGAGGAAATTCAGTTCCCTAAGGTTGTAGGTCTGAAGTCCAGATTTCTTACTGGCTGTTAGCTCTAGAAGTTGCCCACATTCCTTGACTCCTGGCCCTTTTCCTCCAGACACAAAGCCAGTAAAGGCAGGTTGAATCCCTTTCACAATTCAAATGTCCTCTGCATCTTCCTCCTTCGCATCTCTCTGACTTTAGCTGGGAGCGGTTCTCTGCTTATAAGGACTCACGTGACTAGATTGGGCCTACCCTGGGTAGTCTCCTCATCTCAAAATCCGTAACTTTAATCACATCTGCAAAGTCTCTTTTTCCATATGAGGTAGCATATTAGGGCATAGATATCCTTGGGAGGGGTGTTATTTGGTCTACCACATGCTTCCATATTAATTCTTTGCATGTTATTAAGCAAAAATAGCTTATTTGAGATACAGTTTATTTGAAGAGGATAATTAAGATCCTACCATCTTTGTGTAAATGATATTATTAATTTTCCTTGGAGAAAACATCAGGGGAAGACAGGAAACATCAAGAAAGGAGTAGAGAAAGTGAACAAATAGGGAAGGTGGTACATGGAGAAAATCTTTACTTCTTAAACAATGTTTTATATTGTTTTTCACATAGTGGAACATACAACCCATAATACTGCAATTCGGAGTACATTGATAAAATATCACCAAGATATCTCTGAATTAACCACTTACTCATATTTTATCTTTAAAAAAAAAAAGAGAAAACCTATACAAAAGTGGCATTATAATCACAAAGATAGATATCTGAAATGGAACAATGTTAAAGAAAATAAGCCTATCAAATTGTGGGTAATTAATGTGAGAGATTTAACAGCTTTCCCACCTATTAGATTGCTAACTTTTTTGATTTTTATGATGACTCAATAAATCTATTTGATTTTAATGTTTGTTGCCATTCATTTGTTCATCATAGATTTCTGACCTCATTTCTAATTTAGTATTAAAATATTATGTAACCATTTAAGTTTAATCAAATGATTCTAGACTGTTGTCTATTGTACAGTGATACTCTATAATAAACTATATTTATAGTTTTTGAGGATGAATGTAGTATTTCTATTTCTCATCTTTCATTTTATTTATCTCATTAGCTAAGAAACCTTTCCAGCTTGGACCTACGTCATATCACTGAACTGGATAATGAAACCGTGATGGAAATTGTCAAGAGGTGCAAAAATCTAAGCTCTCTCAATCTCTGCCTGAACTGGATCATAAATGACAGGTAACCATTGTAACATCTTAAAAATACTTTTCCATAGGGAAACATGTGCTCTATGTACCAAGTACTGATTATCATTATAATAAGGCATGTCTACTTTAAGGAAAACGTGATAAAGCCATGACTTTTAAAATAGATATGTTTAAGTTCTGAAAACCATTTAGAAGTATACTTTTAACCCATCCATTGCTTATATTTGCAACAAGGTTTTTATGTGCTAAGACTCAAATGTTTGCCTGAACAGTTATAATAATAGAAGTCTATTGAATTTTCTCTTTGTTACCCATCCAAGACATATTGTTTATTTGTCACTTTAATATTTTTGCAACTTTTGTGTTAATTTTACTTTTCACTTATCAAGGAAAATGGTTCTGAGAAACTGTTTCAAACATTATGCATTCAGATCCTTTTTCAAGGATGACATTTTGTTTTCTGTATAAATAGAATTTGTTTTGAAAATGAAAGTCATGTGGACAGTTTAATATGTAGTGTAAAAATGTGTAAAATGTGTAGTTTTTTAAAACAAACAATGGTAAACCAGTTTTTCTCTGAAATATTTAATGAAGGAAATAAAAAGATGCAAGAACCCTTGAAAATAGATTTCTTTATAATGAAAACAGCAGCAGAGTTAGCACTACTCTACTACTGCTGATTAGTTTAGGTGGGTTCTTAAATATAAGCGTGAGATAAGATTCTTGCCCAGTAACTTTTCAAGAATAAATTTTTAAAAAAAGTTAGGCCACCAAAAATATTTTGCTTTCAAAATAGAAAGCACTATTTCAGCTATAATTAGAACCTATTTAGATGTAAATATTTTTCACAAATTAGAGCAGAGGTTTATTAAGTTTGTGTCAGATAATGCTTTAAATTCAATACACTTCCCCCTTTCACTTTTAATTTCCTTTTATACTTTTAACAATAAAATCGTGTAGACTACATTTTCCCCAAGTATGGTAAATTCTAGTGACTTTTTTATTTTTTTTTTGCGGTACGCGGGCCTCTCACTGCTGTGGCCTCTCCCGTTGCGGAGCACAGGGTCCGGATGCGCAGGCTCAGCGGCCATGGCTCACGGGCCCAGCTGCTCCGCGGCATGTGGGATCCTCCCGGACCGGGGCACAAAACCATGTCCCCTGCATCGGCAGGCGGACTCTCAACCACTGTGCCACCAGGGAAGCCCTCTAGTGACATTTTTATAAATTACCCTGCATTGCTCTTTAAATTATGTGATCGCTTTTGACTTAGCTCTTTCTTAGTAAAATTTTTCTTGAAAAATTTACTAATCCAGAATTGGCCCATGGTCATCATTTATAAAAGGTGTTTATTGTTTTTGAGTAACAGTCACTATGTGAGGTGGATCAAAATCTAAAGAAAATTGATGAAAATTTTAAAAATTAAATTATTCTCTATAATCATATTTGCCTACATAGCCAATTATGTGGCAACTTAAAAATAATCTTTTAAGTGTTTTTCATAATAACTAATAAAATAAAGTACATGAAAAACATCATCCTGTGGTTTAGGTGTTTAGCATTAGCTTAATATTGAGGTAAACTTCTTGGTAATGCTTCAGGTTGAAAGGTGAAAACTATTTGTGCCACAGTATGGTTATGAAGACGATTGCCTTTCATTGCACAACAGTTTTCTATGTCCATGCATAGAAGACTCAGTACTTGGAGCCTACAGAGGTAAATTAGATGCAGTCCATATAGGATTATAAGGGCTATCTGCTTGGTAAACATTTTGCTTAGGTTTGTATTATTTACACAAAGATATTCAGAGATTTCTCATCTTTTAGCTCTTCAAATGCTTATTTAGCCATAACTGGGTATTTACAAATGAAAAAGTGGGCAGCCCTCACCTTCTCTTAGGTTCCATCTACTCAGATCTCTTGCTATTTCAGTCATTTTTTTCCTAATTATAATGGTCATTTGGTGTTTGATCCTAAATACCTGTGCTGTAGAGATTTATTTGCAAGGAATGAAAGTGTATTTTTATGTTTTTAATGGAAAAGTTTGGATTAATTGAGAAAACATGCATTTTAATGAGACTGAGCGGTAGAGTTTTAAAGATCAGACTCTTTTAGGTTTTAATTACACTGCTTGCACTTATCCTGTGTACTGTAATAGGAGTTTCAAACATTAAAACCCACTTTGTAGTATCATCTAAATTACTCAGCTCATTGTTCTTGCCATACTCTATCACTAAGCTAAGTAATATTTGTAATTATATTGGTATAAATCTAGGACTTCCCATCAGACTTAATTATAATTTCAGCACTTAGCCGAGATGGGTTAGTAACCTTTCATATAGAGGACACTGGAATGCACTAATGCATTTAGCCTATCAATTAGCGTCTGTTTTACATTTGTTCATTATTATTATCCTCTAGTAAATCAGGAGGCATTTATTAACCCCCTACTAAATACTTGGTGCTGTGTCTCAGACTGTGGAGCACTGAGTCCCTGCTGCTCTCAGAAGGTTTTCTCTTTAGGGGACATAAGACTTAATGCGTGAGATAATAGTGAGCCTTGTAAAGATAGAGGGGAGGAAGGTAACCTTTACTACCCAGGTAATTGATAGGCACTTTACGTGTGTTCTCATTTAATCCTTTCAACATCTTTTGTCAGCGGAAGGTCATACTATTCCTATTAAATTTAGCCCATTTGTTTGACTTTTCTTTGGCTTTTCCAGTTGTATGTATTTTCCATCTTTGCTGCAGTAAAAACTGGATAGGGACAAACAAAAAAAAGCAAATGGCTGATGAGTCAATTTCCATTTCATAGCTAGGTTCACATACAATTGACATTTATATGTAACATTCTTAGTTTTTTTTAGACTAATCTCATTATCTTCTTTCGTAATAAAGTTACAATAGAAACTTTAGATACTATTTTAAACTTAATACCTGTGAAAAGGATCTATGTTTAATGCTGCTAGGTTTAATAAAGGATTCCTCACATGAAGATACACTTTGATACTCTTCCCAAATCTTTAGATATAAGATTTATGCTGGATTTTAAAAGATTTTATCAATAAACTTTTTTTGAAGCTCAAAATTTAAAAATATTTAGTAATTGAAGGCCTTTACTGTTAAGCTCATGAAACCTTTTAGCATTCTGTGGTTCTTGAAATTGATCTGTGTGACTAAGACATGCTGTTCTTTATCTTTGTTTTCTAAAAGGACTTTTTGTGTTTAGAGAGTTAAACGGCGTGATATTTTCTTGTATTCAGAAGGATGGTCTTAGTAGTCATTTGACATTTACCATTGCTTTTGAGTACAAATCAAATCCAAGTGGTTTATGAAAAGACGACCCTGACTATTTCTATCAATGATTTAAATTAAACATCTGGTTATTATGTCTCCTCTACTCTCTCTGACTGTAAGTTTATTGGAATGTTTACTTGTATTTGATATAAATCCTTTGTTATTTCACATTCAATTTGGTCTTCATTGTTTTTGTATGTTTGGTATAGAGTCCAGAAGCAGCATGCTTTGAATGTAAAAAAAAGATATATAAAAACGTGAATGGTTCTGAGCATCTTTATAGTAATATGCCTATAATGGCTTTTTTTTTTTGTCAAGAAGAATTAAGTGAAATCTAATTTATTTTAATAGATCTTTATGGAAGCTCTTTTAAATATTTACATTGGCTACCAAAGAGAGAATTAATCTCCCTAATTTCAATTTTTAACATTAGTCCTGAAAATAAAATTTGATCATATAATATATATACCCATTATCTAATATATGATTCTTTCATTGACAGTTGACCATGCTTGCTCATGAATTAGGAAAACAGTAGAAGATAACAATATAAGAGAAGTGAAAGATTCTCTAGCATCCGTCAGCTAAAGTCACAAAACAGCAAAAGTCAGGCTGGTTGTTAAAGCCAGTTATGCTGCCAACTAGTTGAACTTGCCTAGCTAGAGATTTATTCTTTGAATTTGCAGTTTAAAACAAAATTGAATGTATAAGTTTGTTGAACATGGATAACTAAGGATACCTTCTTTAAGGAGTTAATTTGCTGTATGAATCTTATATTTATGTAAAGGCAGCTGTTGCATCAGTGGACAGTCTAAAATTTGAGGACTTTTAAACCTGAGACTGTTGCAACCAGTTTCTTTCAAGTATAAAATAACGTTTACAATATGTTACTCTTTAGAATAACTTGTGTTTAGAATAGTAACTATAAATATCTTCTCTTTAAGTAAAACTTTTGAATACCATCATTTTGAAATTGCAAACTGGTGGGCTCAGCTGAGTCCGGTCCACAAAGCTGTTTTGTTTGGCCTATACTATATTTTAAAAATTGAATTAGTTACCAACTTAAAAAAATTGGGGTAGTTCACATAAAAATTCTGAATTTTGGCCTTCTCTTGGGAAAGTTTCAAATCTAGCAACATTGGACCCACATTTTCTCATGTCAACAGTTTTTCTAGGATGAGTAATGGGCTTTTCTCGTTGGCCATTCTCCAATTTCTCTACTATTCCCACCCAGCATGACCTATTTTTTTTTTTATATTATCTACTTGTTCCTTACCCAGTCTACGAATTGAATTCTCCCTTATTGAAATCCAGAATGTAGAGATTTTTAGGTAAAGATTTCTTATTTTAAATCAAGTAGTTATTTTTAAATTGAGTCTGATAACATATGTTAACAGATAATATAGAGTTGATTAGTTTACCTAAATTAGTTCTTCATTATTTCAGGCCTCAGAACTTTGGCCAGCATGTTGGAGTTACAGAGGGAGACAGAATTCAGTTTAAAATAAATTAAAACCTTCGTTTTCATTGACTGCCTTCCAAAATGGAGAACTCACTCCCACTTAGTGTTCAAATGAGTGTTCTAAAACAGCTTCCTGAATAATAGAGTTGAACTAGTTTACTAAATTAACTCCAACTTCAAGCCTGTGATTTAAAATGAATTTATTTGCAGTGCTTAGTATTTGATTCACAATGCCTTTGTTTATCATATTAAGAAAAATCTTAAGACTATTCTTTC